CTGGTACATGTCTGGGACCAGTATGAGTATACCTGGCCTGGTACATGCATGGGACCAGTGTGAGTATACCTGGCCTGGTACATGCATGGGACCAGTATGAGTATACCTGGCTTGGTACACATCTGGGACTAGTATGAATATATCTGGCCTGGTACACAACTGAGACTGGTATGAGTATATCTGGCAGAGCACAAGGCTGAGACCACTTTTTTCTTTTTGTCGTGAGTATGTGGGCTTCTCTGGCTGGGGCAGTATTTCTTGCCCATCCCTAGTTGCCTTTGAGAAGGTGGGGGTGAGCTGCCTTCTTGAACCGCTGCAGTGCACCTGCTGTGGGGTTGACCCACAATGCCATCAGGGAGCGAATTCCAAGATTTTAACCCAGCAACGGTGAAGGAATGGCGATATATTTCCAAGTCAGGATGGTGAGTTGCTTGGAGAAGAACTTGGAGGTAGTGGTGTTCCCATGTATCTGCTGCCCTTGTCCTTCTAGATGGAAGTGGTCATGGATTTGGAAGGTGTTGTCTGAGGAGCCTGGGTGATTTACTGTAGGCACCTTGCAGATAGAAAACCCTGCTGCCTCTATGCAGCTCTATGTGTCCATCTGGCCTGGTACAGCAAAAGCCCATCATAATGTGAATGTGAAAATAGCCAAACACGACAGTAATTGTTTCACTAATTCCACACTTTGGTAGCTTTCTGGATGATGGGGCATTCTTGGTCTGTTTGCTGTGCTATACATGCAGCAATCCTGTAACAAGGGGACTCCCTAAATTAAGCCAGAGCTGTCCATCACTTTTGACAAGTATTGCTCCTATGAAAAGAAGCCTCACCCTCTGATGGTTGAGGTTGGTGATGATCAGAGACTCATTGTCACACGCAAGGGAATGTATCCACTCCTGAAACCTGCTGGTCCGCATCACCCAGTGATGAAGCTGATCATACCATAGTCGATAAGATTCATAACAACTTGCAAAGCTGTTCAATAGCTGGAGCCTGAAACTCAGAACAATCAGTTAGAATGCAAAGATCTGGAGAGACAGTACTATACACATTCACTGCAATGATAACTGAACACCAAAGGCAGAGAAAAGCAGGTTGTATTCCCTTGAATTAAGAAGGTGAGGGCTTATTTCACTGAAGTGTTCGATGCATAAAGTGGAGCAGATGGGGTAGGTAGAGAGAAATGATTTTGAAGTGTCTAAGATGAAGGGCCCTAGACTAAAAACTGAACCCAGATCTTTCATCAGTAAACTGAGAAAACATTCTCCACACAGAGGTAGATGTTTGAAATTTTCTGAATTCTGCAAATAGCAAATGATATTTGTTGCGACCAGACCCCAGGTGAGACTCCCCAAGTTAATGTGATTCCCAAATTGTCAATTCCCCAGTATAGGAGGGAAGAGTCTTCATTCAGCTGCTCCCTTGGTGGTCACAACACTGTTCATTTACAAAGTATCCCCTCCCTTGTGGATAACTTTCCCCCAGGCCAAATGAATTTGTATTTTAAGAGGGAACCAATTCAACCATGATTTCTTGAGTTAACAAAAGAATGAGTTTATTATTTACCAAGCTCCAGAAGAAATAATGCAACACAGATATGAACAGGTTAGGAATGAAAACTGAGTCAGGACAAATGGAGTGAGTCTGAAAAACAAAGCAGTTAAAAAAGAACCTTGATCAACCTTGGAGTTATTCGTGAAGTGTAGATATTAAAAGTTATGACTGTTACAGTTGATGGGAGCATTGACATTGGTAGGTGAACAGGCAGTTTCAAGATTCTTGGTTGTGCAGTTTGGATGAAATCCTTTCATCCTGGTTCCTTTTGATCGTGGATGGTTAGCAGCATTCAGTGTGAGCGAGAATGTATTCCTTTTCCTTACCTGCAATGCAAGGCTGTTTTCAATGCTGCTTTCAAAGCTGTGAAAGCTCACTAGTCCACGAAGACATCAAGCCACAAACACATACCCAGGGTGTAACCTCACTATCAACCCCTCTCCCTGTGTATTCTTGAATGGGGAAAACACAAATACTTCACTTACTCAGATTGCTGCCTTTTTCTACCACCATTTCACAGCCCGAGCTACTCAGAGGGGATTACAGCTCATGTTGTAGTGCATTTCTCCCTTTGAACCTTCCTCTCGACACCTACAGGTGTGACATTCTAGAGTTCACCTCCAGGCAGCCACTGGATTTATATCCATAGTCATGTCAGCTACGTCAGTTGTCTATTAAAAAGGACAAATTGGAATTTAAAAGGGTGATATGTCCATGGCTGAGCTGTGATCATCAGATGTTCAACCAGTTGTTAATTTTAAATTTGAGATTGATAGATTTTTGTTTGTTGAGGGCTTTCAGGGACATTTGGAAAAGGTATGGATAGTGAGCTAAGTCACAGAATAGTCACATTGAATTGTGGAACAGACTCGAGGGGGTTACATGGGAACGGGGAGGGGATGCAATAAGACTGTAGGTCAGAACAGACAAGGCTAAAGCACTCAGTTACAGGTGGATGACCTGGAACACTCAGTTATCATTCACACTTCTGGGAAAAAAAATTGCAAACAAAGTGCTCCAGAGTTTATTTGGATCAATTCACACAAGCTGCTAAAAATCCCAGTCTTCCTTCCAGGAATAAATGCCTGTGGGAACCATTGACATTGTTGTATTCAATAGCAGACAGTACACATATTCAATAAGACTTTCCAGAAGGTTCTGTACTAGCTCGTGAAGAAATATCCTTGTTATAAAACATTATACTTCATTGACTATGTTTTCTGCTGCCTTCCAGGTAACCCTGTAGTCTTGCTGCCACCTTACTCTGCCTTCCTGAATCCAGGCCTAGCACAGCAGGCCTTGTTCACAGCCTGGTTCGGGATCGGGGACCCAGGCCCTTGGTTCTCCCCCTATATCCTCGCAGAGAGCCATTCTGAAAATCATTGATCTGTCTGTTTGTATCAGCTGTGCAGACTGATAGTTTACAATAGCCAGTTAAAAGACTGTAAACTATTCAGTAGGGTCCAAATGGTCTGTGTAAACAGGAAGAAGAAGGAGTTTGATGCTGTACTGGAACGTTCCTGAACATTCTTTTTGTTGGTACATTCCTACCTTTCTATATCTTCTCCACAAACACTGCCACTGCCTGCTTTCACTATGACTGTTCCTAAATCCTGTACAGGGACTTTACCTTCCACACACACTGAAGCAGTGGTAGGCAAACAGATTTGGCTGAAGGACCACTCTCTGATTGGATTTGTGAGTAGGGACACTATCATCGAATTGATCATTCTCGTGACCTGACAGTGCTGCATGTAAAAAAGAAATCACGCCTAAAAAACTCACAGTTACTTGCTTAGAGAGCAGCAAGATACCTGGGGCTGCTTTTCACTCTGTCCACTCTTGCACAGTCTTCTTCTAAAGGATAAAGCCAGCCCACACTATACTCCTAACTTACCCTGCATTTCACATTTGCAAAGTCCTTCCACGTCTTTAAAAATTGAAGACTCCTGTGTAGACCCCATGCCCTAAAATGAACACACAGTCTGTTAGCTGGGGAAAACCCTCAGGTGGTCTTACTTTTAAGAGTTTATTGTCATCAGAAGGGTCACTGAGGGTCTCTCCACACCTGAGTCACTGTCCCAGATTCACGCTGAGGCACAGCCACTGTAGGTTGAGTCAATTTCATCATTATGTACACAGTCATCAGCTGCTGAAACTCTCCTCTATGCTTTTATTTCTCTTTACACTCGAGTATTCCAATGCACACCCAGTATTCTACACCCTGTAAACTGGAGCTGTTGTTTTTAACTGATGTCTAACTCTCACCTAGTCCTGTTTGGCTATCACCAGGTGCTCTCTGACCTACACCAGCTCCTAGGTGAGCAACCTTTTGATTTTTTATACCATCCTTATTCCATATCCTTCGATAGCCTCATCCTTCATTATGTCTGTAATCTCCAGATCCAAAATGTTCTAAAATACTTGCAGTCCTGGTCACATTCTGGTCTCAATGTATTTCCAGTCATAATTGCTCTACCATTGGTACCTTCATATGTCTCCGCCCCATCTCTGGAGTTCCCTCCTTGTATCTGCCTTGTATCCTTCTCTACCTTGTATCACCTTATAGGAAGCTCCTTAAAACCTATCTCTTTGGCCAATTTTTTGGCAGATTTACCCCATATCTTCTTATATGTTTGAATGACATTTGTTTTCTAATGCAATGGAACATTACCCCGAATTACTTACAGACAGGTGAACTTTTAAACAAAGGAGATTTTTGTTTAAAAATAAAGGGATGTACATTCCCATGATGGCTAGCAATGTAAATTTACAGAATGTGACTGTGACTATCTGGAAAGTTCCTGTGTGGATTATACTCAGTCCTGAAAGAGATGATGGGAATGCTGTACCTGGAGGGTGCTGAGGAGCTTCAGACAGAGATACTTCAAAGGAAGATATGCAATGCAAAAACCTTTGGTTGCAGAGATAATGAAGGCTAATCAATACCGTAACAGAAACCACCTCCTATGAGACATAGAGGGAAGCAAAAGAAAGCAGTTCCAGGTGAAAGCCATGTTTCTGTTTTCCATGAATACATAAGAGAAGAGTTGACAAAACAGGGTCACAGTTGAAGAACATTCACAAGTCACTTGCACTTGCATCTAGAGGATGTTTCTCTCTCTCTTTTGCTAACTGCTGACAGTAATTTGCTGGTCAGAAGCACTATATTCAAAAAGGGACCCGGTTAACTCCCTTCAGTTCACCTGCAGAACTGAGAATCTCTTCAAGAAACTGTTCAACTGCCATGGTCATCACCACCCAAACCATCCAACATAATGCCTGCACCATTTCCCCATCTAATCCTCATGGATAAGCCAAAGAATGATTCCTATTTTGCTTTCATATTGTTCCACATTTCCTTGCTTCCCATTTCTAATCTGTGTGTATATGGTTATTGTGTTTAATCATTCTTCCCCTCATTACAGTAATTAATAAACTCACTCTTTTTGTGATCCAGGAGAGCTAGTTAAATTGGATCCTTTTGAAACATAAATACATTGGAACTGGGGAAAAGTATTCATGAGGGAAGGGACCCATTGCTATCAAAAACAGAAATTGCTGGAAAAACTCAGTAAGTCTCTCAGCATCTGTGGAGACAAAGCAGCGGTAATGTTTCAGGTCCAGTGACCCTTCTTCAGAACCCCTTTCTCCTTCCCACAATAGCGATAGGATCCCCCTCATTCTCACCTACCATCACACCAATATCCACATACAAAGGATCGTAAGCTGCCATTTCTGTCACCACCAGAGACTATTTACCCTCCTCTCCTTTGTCAGCCTTTCGAAGGGACTGTTCCCTCCAGGACACCCTGGTCCACTCCTTCTCCACTCCCAACATCTCCTCACAGCTACACAGCAACTTCCCCTGTAATTGCACAAGGTGTATCTCCTCATTTTCTCCTTATTCCAAACCTCCTTATTTTCTCCCTCCTCATATCCAAGGCCCGAGACACACTTTCTAGGTGAAGCAGCGATTTTCCTGCACTTCACTCAATTCAGTCTACTGCATTCCCTGCTCACAATGTGATCTGCTCTACAATAGGAAGATTAAACACAGACTAGGAGACCACCTTGTAGAACACCTACATTCTGTCCTCAAAAAATGACCCAGAGTTTCCAGTTGCCTGCCACTTCAACATACCACCCTATCCTGGCCAATATCTCTGTCTCAGGAAAAGCCCAGCAGGTCTGGCAGCATCTGTGAAGGAAAAAACAGAGTTAGCGTTTCGGGTCCGATGACCCAAGGAAAGGTCTGAGGAAGGGTCACCAGACCTGAAACGTTAACTCTGTTTTTTCCCTTCACAGATGCTGCTAGACCTGCTGAGTGTTTCCAACAATTTTGTTTTTGTTCCTGATTTACAGCGTCTGTATTTCTTTTGGTTTTTTTCTGTCTCAGGCTTGCTCCTGTGAAGCTCAGCACAAGCTGGAAGAACAGCACCTCATTTTCCGCTTGGGGACCCTACAACCTTCTGACTCAATATCAGGTTCAATAATTTTAGGGCTTGAGCACCTTCTCCCATTCCTTACCCCCAACTACCACACACCAGGCCTTATCATCACATGGGCCGCTACTACTGTCAACCCATCGTTAGCCTCTAATAATCTCCATTAGCAGCTACTGATTCTCCCAGATTGATACTGACCCAGTCCTTTGCCTGTCCAGCTGTCTCCAGTCTCCATATCCACTTGTTGTTTCCTGCTCCCCCCTCCCCTAACCCCTTCTTTAGTATATATACCATTGTTTTCCTACAGGAGGGGTCGCTGGACTCAAAATATTAACTGTGCTTTCTCTCCACAGATGCTGCCACGCCCTCTAACTTTTTCCAGCAATTTTCCATTTTTGTGTCCAACTTCCAGCATCCACAGTTGTTTGGCTTTTCTGGGATCCATTGTTAACTTTGCCTCAACCAATGAAAGTCAGTTCAGTGGATTAGGTGGATGGGCCATGCTGGATTGGCCATAGTGTCCAGGGATGTGCAGGTTGAATGGATTGGCCATGGGAAATGCAGGGTTACAGGGATAGGGTAGGGGAGGCAGGATGCTCTTCAGAGGGTCAGCGTGGACTCGATGGGCTGAATGGCCTGCTTCCCCCTGCAGGGATTCTGTGACTCGCTTGTCAGTCTGAAGTGATTCCAAAAGAACTGGCTACAAGCAATCCCTCGAGTAGCTGAATCATTTGCTGTTGGATTAACTGGCACATCTGAGCATATTAAAGCCATTAGAAGGGCAACCTCATTTGGTAAGATTATTTCTTTCCCCTATGGAAAGTGTGTGATGTTAGTATTGTGCAATAGAATACTTTTTCAACGTGTGTCATCATGGAGCACTCCTTGTATGATATCAATCATTTCTGATGTATTACCACATGGGAATGTGGCTTCATCCTCCACCTCACTTACACCAATGTGACATTCACACCCCAACCTCATTCCAATCATCATGAGTACAGTGGGGTTGCACAGTGGCTCAGTGGCTACCACTGCTGCCTCACAGTGCCAGGGACCCAGGTTCAGTTCCACCCTTGGGTGATTGTCTGTGTGGAGTTTGCATATTCTCCCTGTGTCTGTGTCTGTGTGGGTTTCCTCTGGGTGCTCTGGTCTCTTCCCACAGCCCAAAGATGTACATTTTGGGTGGATTGGCCATGCTAAATTACCCAAATTTTCCAGGAATGTGCAGGCTAGGTGCACTAGTCATGGGAAATGCAGGGTTACAGGGATAGGGTTGGGGGGGCTGTATCTGGGTGGGGATGCTCTTCAAAGGGTTGGCATAGACACAATGGACTGAATGGCCTGCTTCCAGACCGCAGGGATTCTATGATTCTAAGGTAAGGGGGTTCAAGTAAAAGCAGTTTCTTCCTCCTGTACTTGAGGGTACATGGATTTGGGGGTTTCCTGGGCAATATTAAAACAAACAGCAATGAGATGAATGAACATTCAATGCATTTTTCACTGTTTTGTTGAGGAATAACAATGGCAGAGGGTCCAATGGGTGATGGTTTCTTCCAGTGGTGTTGCCAGGGTCGCACAGATAGTAATTGAGAAACTCACCTCTCCTCGGTGTACATTCTCAGTGACTGGAGTCTACTGCTCAAGACCTGAATCCTCCCTCTGTCTCGGGCTGTTACCATGTCGCCTGTCTTTGTGTTATTCTGTTCTGTGCTGCCCTCTGGTGAAAAGCGATGGCTGGTGGCGACCCCGGATAATTCATAGTTTCGGGATGTCTCTGACTGTCCCTCAGCTCCAGCAGACTGACCCTCCAGACTTTGCAACACGCGAGAGACCTGACACATGTCCCGGCACTGCTTCTGAAAAGAAAAGGTGATGGATATGGGTTTGGCTTCTTATCCTCCATCACCCCTTCAACAGCCATCATGTTAGAGAAATTCACCAAACCAGCAATAAATATATATGAATATATGTAGGCCATTTAATCCCTCAAGATTGCTCTCATTCATTGGGATCATGGCTGATCTATATCATAGGAACAAGTTTGGGCCATTCAGCCCCTCAAGACTGCTCCGTTATTCAATGAGATCATCCAACTCCAGGTACCTGTCTTTGGTCCACATCCCTTAATTCCTTTGTTTAACAAAATGGTATCTGTCTCTGATTTAAAACGAAGCATCTACTGCCGTTGGTAGAAGAGGGGGAGGTGATGGCCTAGTGGTATTATTGCTGCTCTGTTAAATCAGAGACCCAGGTAATGTTCTGGGAACCTCAATTCAAATCCCACCAGTGCATATGGTGTAATTTGAATTCAACTGAAAATCTGGAATTAAGAGTCAAATGATGACCATGAAACCATTGTTGATTATCAGGGAAGAAACCCATCTGGTTCACTAATGTCATTTAGCAAAGGAAGCTGTGCTACATGTGAATTGAGACACACAGCAATGTGGTTGACTCTGAACTGCCCTCTATGTGGCATGCTGGCCTAGGCGGTAATGCCCTCATTGCATGAATGAATTTTTAAAAATTTCCAAACATCTAGCACTCTTTCTGTGTAAAAGTGCTTCCTAACATCTCTCCTAAATTGTCTGGCACTAATTCACAGACTATGCCCCTAGGTTGAGAATCTCCAACTAGTGGAAATAGTTTATCTTTCTCTACCCTGTATCAGAAATTTGTGTACCCACCTTAGCTTCATATCTTGTGTTACCCAATAAAAAATCTATTAACTCCATTCAGACCCACTGATAAGACATTGCAAGCTTTGAACATTGATTTTCTGATTGCTGCTCTCTATTTTAATTTGGCTGTGAAAGCTTGTTAAAGTGAAAGTACATGTGTTATATCACTGTTAGAGTGAGAGTACGAGTATTATATCGCTGTTAGACACAGAGTATGGATGTTATATCGCTATTAGAGCGAGAGCACGGGTGTTATATCACTGTTAGAGTGAGAACATGGGTGTTATATTGCTGTTAGAGTGACAGCACAGGTGTTATATCGCTGTGAGAGTGAGAGCACGGGTGTTATATCACTGTCGGAGTGGGCGTATGGGTGTTATATTGCTGTTAGAGTGAGAGCACAGGTGTTATATCGCTGTTAGTGTGAGATTATAGGTGCTACTTTACTGTTAGAGCGAGAGCGCAAGTGTTCTTTCGCTGTTAGAGCGAGAGTACGGGTGTTATATCACTGGTAGAGTGAGAGTATGGGTGTTATATCACTGTGAGAGTGAGATCACGGGTGTTATATCACTGTTAAAGCGAGAGTACAGGTGTTATATCACTGTTAGAATGAGAGTGCAGGTGTTATATCAGTTTTAAAGCGATAGTATGGGTTATATTGCCGTTACAGCAAGAGTATGGGTGTTATATTGCTGTTAGAGTCAGAGTATGGGTATTATATGGCTGTTAGAGTGAGAGTATGGGTGTTATATTGCTGTTAGAGTGAGAGTAGGCATGTTATATCACTGTTAGAGTGAGAGTATGGGTGGTACATCGTTGTTAGAGTGAGAGTATGGGTGGTATATCGCTGTTAGAGTGAGGATATGGGTGTTATATCACCATTAGAGTGAGAGTATGGTTGTTATAGCATGTTAGAGTGAGGTTATTGGTGTTATATTTCTGTTAGAGTGAGAATTTGGGTGTTATATCACTGATAGAGTGAGAGTATGGGTGGTAAATCGCTGTTAGAGTGAGAGTACGAGTTGGTATATCATTGTTAGAGTGAGAGCACAGGTGTTATATCGCTGTAAGAGTGAGAGTATGGGTGTTATATTGCTGTTAGAGTGAGAGCACAGGAGTTATTTCGCTGTTAGAGTGAGAGTGCGGGTGTTATATCACAGTTAGAGCAAGAGTGCAGGTGTTATATCGCTGTTAGAGTCAGAGTATGGGTGTTATGTCACCGTTACAGTGAGAGTAGGAGTGGTATATCGCTGTTAGAGTGAGAGCAAAGCTGTTATATCGCTGTTAGGGTGAGAGCACAGGTGTTATATCACTGTTAGAGTGAGAGTATGGGTGGTATATCACTGTTAGAGTGAGAGCATAGGTGCTATATCTCAGTTAGAGTGAGAGTATGGGTGTTATATCGCTGTTTGAGCGAGAGTACGGATGTTTTATCACTGTTAGAGTGAGAGTACAGGTGCTATATCACCGTTAGTGTGAGAGTACGGTTGGTATATCGCTGTTAGAGCGAGAGCACAGGTGTTATATCGCTGTTAGTGTGAGAGTATAGGTGCTATATCACTGTTAGAGTGAGGGTATGGGTGCTATATCGCTGTTAGAGTGAGAGCACAGGTGTTATATTGCTGTTAGAGTGAGAATATGGGTGTTATATCACTGGTAGTGTGAGAGTATAGGTGCTATATCACTGTTAGAGTGAGAGTATGGGTGGTATATCGCTGTTAGAATGAGAGTACAGGTTGGTAGATCATTGTTAGAGTGGGAGCACAGGTGTTATATCGCTGTTAGAGTGAGAGTATAGGTGCTATTTCGCAGTTAGAGTGAGAGCACAGGTGTTCTTTCGCTGTTAGAGCGAGAGTGCGGGTGTTATATCACTGTTAGAGCGAGAGTGCGGGTGTTATATCACTGTTAGAGCCAGAGTGCAGGTGTTATATCGCTGTTAGAATGAGAGTATGGGCGTTATATCGCTGTTAGAGTGAGAGCACAGGTGTTATATCACTGTTAGAGTGAGAATATGGGTGTTATATCACCGTTGGAGTGAGAGCACGGGTGTCATATCGTTGTTAAAGCACGGGTGTTATATCTCTGTTAGGGCAAGAGTACGGGTGTTATATCACTGTTAGAGTGAGAGTGTGGGTGTTGTATCACTGTTAGCGTGAGAGTATAGGTGCTATATCGCTGATAGAGTGAGAGGATGCGTGTTATATCACTGTTACAGTGAGAGTATAGGTGCTATATTGCTGTTAGACTGAGAATACAGGTGCTGTATCGCAGTTAGAGTGAGAGTGTGGGTATTATATCACAGTTAGAGTGAGAGTACAGGTGTTATATCACTGTTAGAGTGAGAGTATAGGTGTTATATTGTTGTTGGAGTGACAGTATAGTTGCTATATCGCAGTTAGTGTGAGAGTATGGGTGTTATATCACTGTTAGACTGAGAGCACAGGTATTGCTGTTAGAGTGGGAGTATGGGTGTTATATAACTGTTATGGTGACAGTATAGGTGCTATAAAACTGTTGGAGTGAAAGTACAGGTGCTATATCACTATAAAGCGAGAGTATGGGTTATATTGCCGTTACAGTGAGATTATGGGTGTTATATCATGGTTAGAGCGAGATCATGGGTGTTATATCACTGTTAGAGTGAGAGCACAGGTGTTATATTGCTGTTAGAGAGAGAGTATAGGTGCTATATCACAGTTAGAGTGAGAGTATAGGTGTTATATCTCTCTTAGAGTGAGAGTATAGGCGCTATATCGCAGTTAGAGTGAGAGTATGGGTGTTATATCACTGTTAGGGTGAGAATATGGATGTTATATCAATGTTGGAGTGAGAGCACGGGTGTCATATCGCTGTTAAAGCATGGGTGTTATATCTCTGTTAGAGTGAGAGTACAGGTGCTATATCGCCATTAGAGTGAGAGTATGCATGGTATATCGCTGTTAGAGCGAGAGCACAGGTGTTATATCGCTGTTAGAGTGAGAGTATAGGTGCTATATCGCAGTTAGAGGGAGAGTATGGGTGTTATATCAGTGTTGGAGTGAGGGCACGGATGTCATATCGCTGTTAAATCATGGGTGTTATATCTCTGTTAGAACGAGAGTACGGGTGTTATATCGCTGTTATAGTGAGAGTATGGGTGTTGTATCACTGTTAGAGTGAGAATATAGGTGCTATATCGCTGTTGGAGTGAGAGTATAGTTGCTCTATCGCTGTTAGAGTGAGAGTACAGGTGCTATATCGCCATTAGAGTGAGACTATGAGTGGTATATCGCTGTTAGAGCGAGAGCACAAGTGTTATATCGCTGTTAGAGTGAGAGAATAGGTGCTATATCGCAGTTAGAGTGAGAGTATGGGTGTTATATCGCTGTTAGAGTGAGAGTATAGGTGCTACATTGCTGTTAGAGTGAGAGCACAGGTGTTCTTTCATTGTTAGAGCGACAGTGCGGGTGTTATATCGCTGTTAAAACATGGGTGTTATATTTCTGTTAGACCGAGAGTACGGGTGTTATATCACTGTTAGAGTTCTGCAGCAGCCATTGTTTTCTCAGAGTTCATGACCCCACTTGGGTCTCAACCGCAGCCCCCCAAAAACACATAGCATGATGGCATCAGTGCCCTTTTCCAGGAAAACCTTGCTATGGATTTGGCAAAGGCATATTCTTCACCTGCCTCGTGTGGCTGTAGACACAGGAAGAACATTGAGAAGAGGGCAGTTGAGTTGAATATCTCATTCACCTTCAGCAGTGTTAAACTCAGTATTGCACTGGCATTGTGTACTATATCTTGTATTTTACATTCTCTGTAAAGAACGTTCTAACTCAGAGGCAAGAACACTAACTCAATGAGCCACAGCTGAAGGTGCAAGAAAGTCAATTAGCAGTTACCAAAAAAGGAGTATACCCAAAACCTCAAAAAGGAAACACCCCACTTCACTGGAATAATGTTTTGGATATTAGGAGGATATCAAGAGAAACAAATTCCACCGCTCACCGCAAATATCCTTCTGTATTTGGGAGTGCAGCATTGATCACTGGTGACCATGCACAGCTCAGACTCCAGCAGCTTCACCCACTCTGTTACTGACCAAAGTTTTTGGTCAAGAGACCGATCTTTTGCACCAGTGTCACTAGGAAACAGAAGAGAAATTGACAAAGTAACTACAAAATACCAAATCCAAAGAGACACATTGTCGATTCATAGTCAAATATCCCATTCATTTCTCTTTTTTTCCACTCACTAAGTTATTTCAGAAAACTAGACCTGCTCTTTGGGGTTACAGGAGTACAGTTTTCAGCCCATATTGCAAAGCCCTTGGGACAGAAAGTTATATATTCACACTGAAATATTTAGAATTAAAACAGTGTTAAACCTAAATCCTTTATCATTATTCTCTTCCTAGCAGACTCCCACTCTTTGCTTTCTGTTATCTATAGTACTTTCAGATCTGTAAAATGGAAATATTGTGAATGATTCATCTTCAGCACATGCCAAACCTCCACTGTAGAAGATAAGGACAGGAGGCACACAGGAGCAGCACCATGTTCAAGGTTTGTCTAGGTCACATACCATCCTGACTTAGAATGAAATCGCTTGTTTCACCACTATCACTGTGACTCCCTCCCTCGATAAGAATACTTTCACCTCAATGACTGCAGTAGTTTGAAGAAACACCATCATTTCATGGAACAGGTCCATGCCCACATCCCATGGATTTTTATTTCAGCATTCTTTCAGCTCAATCATTTCACTTTGCTTTGTAACGCCACTCTTGTGCTGTTTGTTTATTGATCAAATTGATACAAACCCTTTAATATCTTCCCTAAATGTTACTTATCTGTGTGACCGTTGGCAGTAACATATTCGGCCTTGGGAGGCATCATAGTTCAGCAGTCTTCTTCTTGAGGCTGTTATCTCTATGTGCAAGAAATCCACAGCAACAGTGATCACAAGTGGGATGTCTAACTTGATTCCCTAACCTATTCTGACTAACAGTAAAATCCTACACAACATTTCACTTGCTCTGACTGCACACTGGCTGAGGAATGACCCTGAGACTTCTTATGTAGAAATAGCTTCCACATTTACTTATCCATCTGAACCTTCCTGTCCCTCCACTTCCTTTAATACCCAACAGCAACAAATTGGATAAATTTACCCATCACTGTGTGTCAGTCTCTTCATTGTGCAGATGTTAGACTGGGTTTCTCAAGGAACAATCACAGGGACTGGTGTTCACCAGTTCGGTTTTAAAAGTGGATCAACCTTAATTCAAGCCTGAAATTTCATTAAATCAGAGCAACATTTGGAACAGTGTGACGCCATTCAGCCCATCATGTCTGTGTCAGAAAGATCTAAGAGACAATGACAGTTAGTGACAATAGGGCAGCGCAGAGGCGTGGGGATCAAGAGATCGAGCCCAGTGTGGGGCAGAGGGGATTGAGCTCAGCGCAGGGAGAGAAATTGAGCCCTTGTGAGGAAAGCCCAGCATGGAGCGACTGCAGGACTGTAAGGTGGAACTTTTAACTTTATTTCTAATTTACTACTTTATGCTGAGAAAAACTGTAATGTTGAACTTTTAACTTATTTCTTTATTTTTCTACTTTCTACCTAAGATTTTGTATCTAGGTACCTTGTACCTAAGATGGCATTGCGAATGGCGGCATTTCACTGTACTCCTGTATCCCTGTACTTGAGTATACGTGACAATAAAACCTAATTCTAGTTCTATTCTTTGTCCTTAGTGCTTAATTGTATTTCTTTTTCATTCCAGATCATCACATGAGAAGATGCCTTGCCACCCTGATTTTTTTGTTGCTTATCTTAAAGCTGTGGCTTTTGCTGACTGGGCCTGTTGCATTAGAAAAAAAAACCCTTTATTTATTCTGCGAAACCCCCTTCTCATTTTGACTGCCTCTATTAAATCTCCCCTTAGCCTTCCCTGCTCTGAAGAGAACAAATTCAGTCTCTCCTCATCACTGTCTTTGGTAAGAACTGATTCTGTTTAGACAATGACATTCATTCTTCTTAAATAAAAAAAAACTTGGATGCTGGAAATCATAAACAAAATCAGAAAATGCTGAAAAAGCTCAGCAGGTCTGTCAGCATCTGTGAAGAGAAATCAGAGTCAATGTTTTGGGTCCAGTGACCCTTCCTCAGACCTGCCTTTAGTGTGAGGAATGAAAACCCCTGACAACAATTCACAGAAGCTGAACTGGACAAAAATGGTCAGTGACTGAAAGAAAGGGATACAAGGAAAACGGAGTAATTACAGTCACATTCCAAAATCCAGTTGGGGAATATTGTGCTGGTCAGTCAACACCAAGAGGAAAGGGACATGCTAAAGATGTTATGGTCACTCTTCCCTTTACAACTGACTGCAATGTACTTCCCATTTTTTATTCCACATTTCCAGCGTTTTCCATCTCAATTACTGTTTCAATCAATGATTTTATCTTCAATACTCACAGCCACGCTCCTGTCCTCCCATTATGGCCTTCTTGTGTATATTGCTGTTAACAAAATAAAAACACTTCATTTAAAGTAAATATTTCACAAACACTCACTCAAACCCATCCCTACCACAGCCCCCAGTACCTTGTCCATGGATAGTTCTCTCTGTTGTGCCCTCTCTTGAAAGCATTTACCCTCCCTGGAGGAACACTGTTGCAGAGATTCCTTCATCCTAGAAACTCAGCTGGACTCACCATATTAACACAGAGGCTACAAGAGCAGGCCAGAAGCTGGGAATACTGTGGCGAGTAACTCACCTCCTGACTCCCCAAAGCCTGTCCACCATCTCCAAGGCACAAGTCAGGAGTGTGATGGAATACTCCCCACTTGCCTGGATGAGTGCAGCCCCAACAACACTCAAGAAGCTTGACACCATCCAAGACAAAGCAGCCCACTTGATTGGCACTACATCCACAAGCATCCACTCTCTCCACCATTGACGCTCAATAGCAGTAGTGTGTACTTTCTACAAGATGCACTGCAGAAATTCACCAAAGATCCTCAGGCAGCACCTTCTAAACCCACGACCACTTCCATCTAGAAGGACAAGGGCATCAGACATATGGGAACACCACCTCTTCCAAGCTTCCCTCCAAGCCACTCACCATCCTGACTTGGAAATATATTGCCGTTCCTTCGCTGTCATTGGGTCAAAATCCTGGAATTCCCTCCCTAGTAGCATTGTGGGTCAACCCACAGCATGTGGCCTGCAGCGGTTCAAGAAGGCAGCTCACCACCACCTTCTCAAGGGCAACTAGGCTAGTCAGCCAAAGTTAATAGAGAAAAAAACAAATCCCAGTAGCCTCACATACATGATCCTGAGAGGGATGGCCAGGCCATTCAGCTGTGAGGGAGGGGCATACCACCAAATCCAACCCTGCCTTCATCTGTAGTCTTCATATCCATTTCTCACAAGTCACAAAGTTCATGCAGGGCAAAAGGAGGCCATTTGACCCATCATGCCTGCCCTGGTTCTATCCCCTACAGCCAAGCTCCTGCCTTTCCCCATATCCCTGCACACCATTTCTATCCAAATAATTATCAAATTCCCTCCTGAATGCCTCAATCGAACCTGCCTCCTCTGTATGTTCAGGCAGTACATTCCAGACCCTAACTACTCGCTGAGTGAAAGAGGTTTTTTCTCTCACATCACCTGCGCTTTGTTGCCATATCACTTTAATTCTAAGCCCTCTTTGTTCTTTTACATGTGGGAACAGTTTCTGCCGATCTACTCTGTTCAACTCTCTCATGATTTTGAAAAGTTCTACCGATCCTTCTCTGAGCCTTCTTCGTTCCAAAGAGAACAGTCCCAACTTTTTAAATCTATCCTCATCACTGAAGTTTCTCATTCCAGGAACCATTCTTGTAAATTGCGTCTGAGCCCTCTCCAATGTGTTCGCATCTTTCCAAGAATTGTATGCAATACTCCAGCTCAGGTCTGGCGTGGCCTTATATAAGTTCAACATCAACCCTTTGCTCTTGTATTCTACAGCAATGGATGCAAACAAGCATTACTTAGACACCAGAAACTCCAGCAGATCCATTCCTGCCAGACATGGATTTGGGCAGGATGCCAAACTGAGTTTCTATGTTGAGAGGTTTGAGATCAGCGAGTGGCACAGGAGTTGAACATTGATGTGGGACACTCCTGATTTGGTGACTCCAATGACACATGATTTGTAACCTGTCTCTGAAATGGTCTTGCTTGTCTATTTGGTTGGGTAACTGAAGATGGACAGTAAATATTGACCTTTCCAGCAACACGCATTGCCTTCGAATGAACTTTTATCATAGATCATTGAATAGAATCCAGACAGCATGGAAACAGGCTCTTCGGCCCAACAAGTTCACACCGACCCTCAGAGCATCTCACCCAGACCCATCCCCCTATAACCCACCTCAACTACACGTCCCTGAACACTATGGAGCAATTTAGCATGGCCAATTCACCTAGCCTGCACATCTTTGGACCGTGGGAGGAAGCTGGAGCACCCGGAAGAAACCCACACAGACACCGGGGGGATTGTGCAAACTCCACACAGACATCGCCCAAGGGTGAAATTGAACCCGGGTCTCTGGCGCTGTGAGGCGGCAGAGCTAACCACTGAGCCACTGTTATGAAAGAGACATCAGTTTTCATTGCCATTTGGAGCAAGTGGGGGCGGGTGACACAGAGAACTGGTGGGTGGGGGAGAGCAGAGACACTTCATGGTTAAAATAAAAATTCAGACTAATTTAACCGTACCACATAATTTATCCTCACCTTATCCTGAATCGTCGCTTTGCAGAGCCAATGGAATGGATGGAAACTCTCGAGGATGTCGAAGTAGGTCAGGAGACTGATAAGAGACAGCAAAGTAATCGCCATGACAGACACGCAGAAGTCAACTACCATTCCGAACAAGCCTTGCCTAGACACCAGATACTCCAGCAGATCCATGGTAATGAAGCAATCACTCAGGCTGGGGAACACGGTCCATGCTTCATAATCCCAAACAGTGTCCAAACGTCTTTAACAAAACAGGTTCCTGTTAGGTTTATACTTTTAAATCTTAGCCAGGTGTATTTCTGTTCATACCCTCTGTCTCTCTCTCTCTTTCTCTCTCTCTGGTCCCTGCCCCTCTCCAATCTGCACTTTCTCACTCAGTCCTTTCCTAGCTCAGTCTGGCTGTCTTTCTTCTTACCAAAATACTTTCACATTTCTTTGTTAATTTTCTTTATTGTCCCCCTGAATTCTTGGCCTGACAATACTTTTGGTTCCTTTTGCTTCTTTCTGCTATTTTCTCTTAGTGACTTGTGCAGTCTTGGGCGGTCTTGTACATGCTTCCTCTCTCTCTCTGTCTCGGACTCTCCCTATCGTAGTTTCACTATGGGGCTACAATGCTCTCTCCCTTTCTGTCTCCACACAGAGGCTCATCTCACTGACTGTTCATTCTTTCTGTTTAATTCTGGCTCTAATCACATTCTTGTTGTCTGGAATTCCTTTCAGTGATGCTGGATACATTCCCAGTTCACCACACACAATGTGTGATCCCAGAGCAGTCACTATCTGAAGTGGCTCAGCCTGTGAAACAGGTTTCGAAAAATGTGAATGTCAGAAATGGAGTGAATCTGAGAACACTCCCGCCCCATAAGACAAGTAACCCAATGCAGTGGCCAAATTAAATCATATTTACAATCAAAAATCTTAATTAATTCTCGAAATGGATTTATAAAACTTTGTTGAACTTGGGATTTGTAAACTGTAAAAATTGAGATATGTAAACTGAAAATGACAATACCAAATGCTTTTGCTGTTCATTCATTGAATCCCTACAGTGCGGAAAGAGGCTATTCAGCCCATCAAGTCTACATTGACCCTCTGAAGAGCATCCCACCCAGACCCACCCCCTGGCCCCACATTTCCCACCTAACCTGCACATCCCTGGACAATATGGGCAATTTAGCCTGGCCAATCCACCTAACCAGCACATCTTTGGAATGTGAGAGGAAACTAGAGTACCTGGAGGAAGCCCAGACAGACACCAGGAGAATGCACAGACTCCACACAGACAGTCACCAGAGGTTGGAATCAAACCCAGGTCCCTGGCGCTGTGAAGCAGTAGTGCTAACCCCTGTGCCTAGCTTACACACATCTTGGTCAATGTAACTGAGCTGGATTGAACAGTGATCTACATCCACTTTCTCTTGTTTCCTTTAAACTTCAATTCATCTCTGCCACGTTTCCTTCACTGTCACTGGGTCAAAATCCTGGAATTCCCTCCCTAATGGCATTATGGGTGAACCCGCAGCAGGAGGACTGCAGCAGATCAAGAAAGCAGCTCATCCCCACCTTCTCAAGGGCAAATAGGGATGGGCAAGAAATGCTGGCCAGCCAGAGACAAATGAATAGAAAGAGAAAACACCCTTTCGCTCATTGTGTTGACATCAACTCTTTAATCATGCTCCCACTCAATGCATTATTTTACAGGAAACATATGCTGCAAACTCCTCACCTCTTGGCGGGCCTTCTTCCTCCCACTAGAAAAGGGGTGGAATTTAAGGCAAAATCAATTTATTAGGGCTGAAATAAAACAAAGATCTGCAGATGCTGGAAATCTGAAGCAAAAGCTGAAATTGCTGGGTCAATGAACATGAAACATTGACTCTGCTTTCTCTCCACAGATGCTACCAGACCTGCTGAGTTTCTCCAGCAAATTCATGTTTCTATTGCTATTAGGGCTCTTATAGTGATAATGTTATCCCATACTCCCAATTCCTCTGCCTCAGCTACATCTGCTCCCAGGATGAGACATTCTACTCCAGGATATCCCAGGTATTCTCCTATTTTAGAGATTATAGCTACCCCTCCTCTGTCATTAAGGATGCCCTCGACCACATCTCCCTCATTTCCCACGCTTCTGCCCTCAAATCCTCTCCCCCCAACAACAATAAAGATTGAGTTCCCTTAGTCCTCATGTACCACCCCACCAACCTCCGAATCCAACACAACATCCTCCAACATTTCTGCCACCTACAATCAGACCCCACCATCAGAAAGATATTTCCCTCCCCACCCCCGTCTGCTTTCCACAGGGACTGTTCACTCCGCAACTCCCTCGTCTGTTCCACACTCCCCACCAACTCCTCCACCACACCCAGTACCTTTCTCTGCAACTGCAGGAGGTGCTACACCTGCCCCTACACCTCCCCCCGCACCTCCGCCCAAGGTCCAAGACAATCCTTCCAGATCTGTCAGAGATTCACCTACATTTCATCCAACCTGTTGCTCCCGATGTGGTCTCCTCTATATCGGGAAGACCAAACACAGACTCGAGGACTAGTTCACAGAGCATCTGCGCTCTGCACGCACCAACCAACCCGACCTTCCGGTTGCCATCCACTTTAATTCCCCCTCCCACTCCCCTGGTGACGTGTCCATCCTTGGCCTCCTCCACTGTCAGTGTGAGGCCAAGCGTAAACTGGAGGAACAACACCTGATATTTTGCCTTGGGAGCTTACAGCTCAATATTGACTTCACCAGCTTCAAAATCCCTCCACCCCCAGCCTTATCCCATGTCCAGCCCTCCCCTTCCTCCTCGACTCCCTGACCTGACCAAATCTGTCCATCTTCCTACTCACCTATCCGCTCCACATTTCCCACTTTCCCACATGATAACCAATCATTATAACCTCCTACCTGTATCCACCTGTCTCCATCCCACCTACCCTTGCCCCAACCCCACGCCCCTCACTCTATTTATTTCTGGGATCCCCTCCTCCTCCCCAGTCCTGGCGAAGGTTTTCGGCCTGAAATGTGGACTTTCCTGCTCCTGAAATGCTGTCTGACCTGCTGTGCTTCTCCAGCTTCACATCTCTGGCTTCCAGCATCTGCAGTCCTTACCGTCTCCTGGTCATTACAAAGTGTTGCTTAGTTTAGGTGACTGTAACCATTTTTTTCTCCCCTGCACCACAGGTTTCAGTCTTGACTTTAGGTTCCTCTGAACTCTCTGTAAAAATGGTCCTGCCCACCTCTGGCTTACAGAGCTCTCCCTCAGGATTGTGAGTACTGCATCTATTACTATGATATCCGAAACTTCGGGTTGACAATACAATTGACGGAAAGAGATTGAAATAAAGAGCAGCACAGACAAAGTGAGAAATAAAGCTCTCTACAGAGAGATAGAGAGGGACAGTGACAATATTGTGTTCAGCTAACATCAGTCAATATTGCTTTTTATTAAAGGACAAAACCCCAAATCTCCAGCTTTCAGATATGGTAGAATTCACATTATCCAGGATCTCACTCAAACTGAGCTAGGATCAATATTTCCGAGTACGTGAGAAGTGGTTTCTCATCTGTTGGGAGGTTGTGGATTGCAGTATTTTGTATGAAACTCATGCATAGTCACTTGCATCCACATCGATGGCATCATTAATAAGTGCATCTGCAGAACTTAGAACTTACAGACGGTGCTAAGCCCTTCAAAAGGACCTTGTTAGAGTGAATTAATATCGAGTATGGGTTAACGTTGAAAACCAAAGGCCAGGTCAAAACCAAGTGAAGTCCTTCTCGAAGCTTTGCACCCTTGTTATGACAGACTAATTATGTTGAAGTGTTCACCCAGAATGTTTGCAGACAATGGGCCGCAATAGTGTTTGGCATTGGCACTTTTTAAAGGAATATAATATGCATCAAAGTGACTCATGAAATAACAGGGTCATAAGGTGGATTGGCCATGCTGGATTGGCCATAGTGTCCAGGGATGTGCAGGCTGGATGGATTGGCCATGGGAAATGCAGGGTTACGGGGATAGGGTAGGGGAGGTAGGATGCTCTTCAGAGGGTCAGCGTGGACTCGATGGGCTGAATGGCCTGCTTCCCCCTGTAGGGATTCTGTGACTCACTTGTCAGTCTGAAGTGATTCCAAAAGAACTGGCTACAAGCAATCCCTCGAGTAGCTGAATCATTTGCTGTTGGATTAACTGGCACATCTGAGTACAGTAAAGCCATTAGAAAGGCAACCTCATTTGGCAAGATTATTTCTTTCCCCAATGGAAAGTGTGTGATGTTAGTATTGTGCAATGGAATGCTTTTTCAGTATGTCATCATGGAGCACTCCTTGTATGATATCAATCAGGGTGGAGTTTCTGATGTATTACCACATGGGAATGTGGCTTCATCCTCCACCTCACTTGCACCAATGTGACATTCACACCCCAACCTCATTCCAATCATCATTAGTACAGTGGGGTGGCACAGTGGTTAGCACTGCTGCCTCACAGCACCAGGGACCTGGGTTCGATTCCAGGCTCAGGTGACTGTCTATGTGGAGTTTGCACATTCTCCCTATGTCTGTGTGGGCTCCCTCCCACAGTCCAAAGATGTACAGGTTAGATGGATTGGTCATGGGAAATGCAGGCCCACAGGGTAAGGGTGGTGGGCCTAGATGGGATGCTCTTCAGAATGTCAGAGACTTGAGGGGCCAAATGGCCTATTTCTACAATTATAGGGATTCTATGACTGATCCCAAATAATAACAGGGAATTGTTGTCTCTGTTACCTTTCTCAATCATACTGTTAGGCTAGTGCCAATGAAGGAGTGGGCTTTATAGAATGGTCCCCATCCCCATTGTAAACTTGTTCAGGCAGATCCAAACTTTTTTTTTATTTCAGCCACTTGCAACAATCAATTGTCATGTTGTTCTTATGTTCATGCACAAAGTCTCTCTGATATTACTTTATTAACTGAAGTTTATTGATTCATATCAACCGTTTATGCTTAAAAGAAAGATGTGTTGTTGAAGATTTCAGTCTTGTACTCATCAGGACAAATGCAAGAATACTAAATTTTCAACAATCACACCTGCCAAGAAATGTTGTAAATTACTAGAGTTTGTCTGGCAGAGTTTCCAACAAAATGTCTTGGATTCGATAATGGTACAGCAATGTTAGATCTAATAACAAGCAATGAGCCTGATTTAATTAGTGACTTCATTGTTAATAAGCATTTGTCAAATAGTGATCATAATATGATTGAGTTTCATGCAGCATTTGTAAGAGATAAGCAAAGGTCAGATCCTAGAATTTTGGGTTTAAGTAAGGCAGACTTTAATGGGATAAGGCAGACTATCCACAGTAAATGGGAAGCTCTGCTAATAGATGGCACAGGTTTAAGGTGAGAGGGGAAAGATTTAAAAGGACTAAGAGACATTTTTTTTTCACACAGAGGGTTGTGCATGTATGGAATGAGCTATCAAAGGAAATATTGGAGGCCAGTACAACTACAACATTTAAAAGACATCTGGATGGGTATATGAATAGGAAGGGTTTAAAGAGATATGGGTTAAATGCTGGCAAATGGAACTAGATTAATTTAGTATATCTGGTCGGCATGGACAAGTTGGGCCAACGGGTCTGTTTCCATGCTCTAT